CAGATGTGGCACTGCTGGCTGGTGATGAAAGCTTTAGCACTAAAGGCTGGAACACAACAGACATCACAACACCAGTCACTCATCACACACTAACAGACTTTCACGACAAACTCACGCAGAACCCAACATTTCTCCAGCTAGCACTGACTCGTCCAGACTGTAAGTCAGTCCTGTATTCCAGCACTAAGTGCTAGAGTCAGTGTGTGTTTGTGCTCCAATCGTGAATGATTCCTCCGATCATGTGTGCTGTTATTGAGCTGCTTCACTGAGCGATGCTCTCGGTGTTTGTGGACTAAATGAACTCCAGCGAGAGCCGGTCACACATCATGCGGTTTGATAAGATGCAGAAACCCATGCGCTGCTCACACCTGTGCGAGGGATTAATATATCCGTCACGCACCGCGAGATTCACCAGAGCTCATGACAGCATAAGAACACAATCATCAGAGACAGATAGAGCTGTGTCTGCGCCGCTCGAGTACCCAGGATGCACCTGGAGCAGCAGAGGGAGGATGTCAGGGACAGCTGTTTCCTGTCCACACTTCCTGTTGGAGCGCTGGAGGGCGGGAAGCTTGATGTCGAGAGCGTCGGCCGTTTTCCAAACAGGATCTATGTGCCGCGGTCACAGGTGTGAGTGCACGAACGCTCATTATTCATAACTCATTTCTTAATGCGCCGCCGGGCTTCCGATTGACAGAGCATGGCCAAACTCACTTCAGCTTCGCTCCAAAGGACAACAAGAGTTCAGAAGTACAACATGCTCAGATAAAGACATTACAGTGAATGATTTAAAGTGCTCAAATCACGAGGAATCAGATTGTTCTTGATCGCCTGAGATCATTGATTCATTAAACTATGAAACACACTGCAAATGTCAGATATAAAAATGTATTTCTCAGTTCATAAAGAGCATTTCTTGACACTGATCAGTAAATATGACTTCTGCATGCATGCATATAAACAAAGGTTTGTTTGTGACACAGCAGTCAGTATAAAGCCAAGACGACTGACATTTGTACGTGAGTGAACATTACAGATCTACTGATTAATTTATGCTCTTCAATATTTGACTGAATGTTTGCTCTAGTTTTACAGTCACGTTTTATTCTCTTCGTGATATTGACAGACATCAGTCTTGACCCGTCAGGAAGAACACACTCCGTTTCCTCTATAAACCCAGCATTACTCTCGTGTGACGCAATAGAGACAAAACGTCCTGCTGGAGTTTAGGAGACCTGCTCTTCCAGTTACTCCAGTTCAGCAACAGCAGACGGGTGATGATGAAAGAACAGTGTCTCTCTCTCTCACTCACTCACTCACTCACTCTCTCATACACACACACGCAAAACACACACTCACACTCTCTCTCATACACACACACACACACACACTCTCTCACTCACACACACACACACACACACACTCTCACGCAGTGATTTTACCGCAGTTAGGAGGGTTTCAAGCATTCCGTTTCATGTCTAAAACATCCATTAACTGTGGTCAATTACTGTAGCACCACCAAATTATTATTAGCATAATCAAAGCACAAGCAAAAACCCATTATTGTTACTGTAATGTATCTTGATGTTTTAATTTCTTGATGAAGATTATCAACGGATTAATCACTGTAACAGTGTGTGCAAAACGCACACTCACACTCATGCACACTCCCACACACGTGCACACTCATATATACACACACACACACACACACACACACACACACACCCCCTTCTATGGAGTCCCTAAATCAGGTGTTTCCCAACCTTTTTTCTGCCTCTGCACAGTTTTGATAAATAAAAAAATCCCATGGCACACCTCTAAGCACTGAAATATAGCAAAAAAACAAAGATAGGAGCGAACACAAAAGCATTGAAATACAATTTTCCTCTTACATTTTGCCCCATCACCATTAAACCCTAATCTAAATAATCAGAAACACCACAGATCATGAGACACAACACCGAAACATCACAACAAGCACAATCACTGCTTCTACACTCTTCATATTACACCAAACAAGCCACATGATGATCAGATTCTGAACCATGAACCGGCGAAGAGCAAAGGAACAAACGAGTAACAGCCGAATCAGCAGAGGAAAACTAAACCAAAGCCTTGGGACCAAAACCACACCAGAACCTGCAGCGTCTGCCTTGGAAAAAAAGAGACAACCAATAAAGCGAATGAATGAAAAGCTTCTCTTCCATGAAATTCAGAATCAATTATCATCACATTTACAGCAGAACGCCTGCATATGCATTAATCTGCATATATCATATGACTGACTCAATCAGATGACAGAGGATCTGCTTAAGAAAACACTGACAATAGAGGACTATAAATACAATTTAATATTTCATTCCAGCACAGAAAACTTCTGAACACAAACACAGCCAGTGCAAACACAAATCAGAGAGATGACGTGACCAAAGAAAGTACACAAACCATGAAGAAATAGGTTGTCACAAAACAAGAGGAAGAATGTGTAAATTAAATAAGTGAACAGTCAATAGTGAAATACAGCACTGAACAATCCACAATAACTAACCCTGAGAATGACTCGTTATTAGACTCTCGTGAATCGCATCCACAGACTCTCGGCTCATTCAGAGACCTTCATCTCAGCAAACAGAGTCTCAGCAGACGTGAGGAGGTTATGAATGTCCTACCAGCTGCTGCACTTCAGCTTCAGGACGTCGCCGCATTTCAGACACTTGGAGTTCGTGTTTGCGTCCTTCTTCGGGATGTTCCAGCACTGCTGGCATCGCACACGATATTTCTTATACCTGCAAACACCAAAAGTGCACGATAACTAAATCAGGCCTTATTAGAAGAATGCTTAGAAGGAGTGTTGGCCAGTACCTGATCCCACAGGCGTTACAGAGCGGCGTCCCATCTTCAGCGTCTCTCCAGAGAGGAAGTGTTATGTAGAGGACAAGAGAGAGAAAATTACATCAAACACACACACACACACACACACACTTCATGTGCTATATACAAACATCTCTTCATAACATGTTTAGGGCAATAAGAGAGTGTGTGTGTGTGTGTGTGTGTGTGTGTGTTCAGTGACTGTGTGTGTGTGTGTGTGTGTGTGTGTGTGTGTGCGAGTGTTCAGTGACTGTGTGTGTGTGTGTCAAGATGTGGCAGATGTGGCACTGCTGGCTGGTGATGAAAGCTTTAGCACTAAAGGCTGGAACACAACAGACCCAGTCACTCCAGTCACTCATCACACACTAACAGACTTTCACGACAAACTCACGCAGAACCCAACATTTCTCCAGCTAGCACTGACTCGTCCAGACTGTAAGTCAGTCCTGTATTCCAGCACTAAGTGCTAGAGTCAGTGTGTGTTTGTGCTCCAATCGTGAATGATTCCTCCGATCATGTGTGCTGTTATTGAGCTGCTTCACTGAGCGATGCTCTCGGTGTTTGTGGACTAAATGAACTCCAGCGAGAGCCGGTCACACATCATGCGGTTTGATAAGATGCAGAAACCCATGCGCTGCTCACACCTGTGCGAGGGATTAATATATCCGTCACGCACCGCGAGATTCACCAGAGCTCATGACAGCATAAGAACACAATCATCAGAGACAGATAGAGCTGTGTCTGCGCCGCTCGAGTACCCAGGATGCACCTGGAGCAGCAGAGGGAGGATGTCAGGGACAGCTGTTTCCTGTCCACACTTCCTGTTGGAGCGCTGGAGGCTTGATGTCGAGCACTTTGGCGAGAGCGGCGGTCATCTTCCAAACAGAATATGTGCGCCGCGGTGAGAGGTGTGAGCGCACGAATGCTCGTTATTCATAACTCATTTCTTAATGCGCTTCCGATTGACAGGCCGGGGCCAAACTCACTCCAGCATCGCTCAGAAGGACAGGAGATCAGAACCACAACACACACACTTACTTACACACACACACATACTCTCAGTCACACACACTTACTTACACACACTTTACTTGACAAGAAACATTTTTTGCAGTGCTGATTCATTAATCTGTGAAACACTGCAAATGTCAGAGATAACGTTCTCAGTTCATAACAAGCATTGAACAGTAAATATGACTTCTGCAACTTTCTGATGTCATGCATGTAAACGTAAAGGTTTGTTTCTGACATGTCAGTATTTACAGCCCTGATTTATTTATTTCAAAAATGTATTTAGTCACCACTTGTAAGTACACTTGAGTGTACTAGTGTATGAAAGATGGTTCAAGTGTACTGCAAGTGGTGACTAAATACATTTTTTAAATACATAGTATGTTAAAAGCACATTTTACTTCATATTCATGGTGTCCCAAAATAGCACAGTTGAGTACACTTAGATGATCTTAAGTTTCTTAAGTACTAAAGAATATTTTTTTGTATATTAAGGACAAAATTAGCACTTTAAGTACATTATGGACATGCACTTTTTTTTTCACCTGGGATTATAAACGTAAAATAGGGGATTTTTGCTTACGTCAAAATCAAAATCAGTCTTATTTTCTTGGGAATCATTCATGTTTGAAGCACAAATGCTGCAGTTTAACACTTAGTGATATAGATTTGATGAGTGTGAGCACTAGTACTAGTGATGAGTGAGCTGACCAGCACTAACTAGTGTGTGTGTGTGTGTGTGTGTGAGCGAGTCAGTGTGTGAGTGTGTGTGTGTGTGTGAGCGAGTCAGTGTGTGAGAGAGTGTGTGTGTGAGTGAGAGTCAGTGTGTGAGTGTGTGTGTGTGTGTGAGCGAGTCAGTGTGTGAGTGTGTGTGTGTGTGTGAGCGAGTCAGTGTGTGAGTGTGTGTGTGTGTGTGAGCGAGTCAGTGTGTGAGTGTGTGTGTGTGTGTGAGCGAGTCAGTGTGTGAGAGAGTGTGTGTGTGAGTGAGCGTGTGTGCGTGTGAGAGAGTGAGTGCGCGAGTGCGTTCGAGTGTGTGCGTGTGCATGAGTGTGCGTGAGTGTGTGTGTGTGTGAGTGAGTGTGTGCGAGTGCGTGTGTGTGAGTGTGAGTGTGTGT